TCGATATAACGTTTGGCAACCACTGCAACTGAAGTGCAAGCGACATCTGTGCAAAACGGAAACCTCCCAAAAAGTTAGAAAAGGAATCTAAAAATTTCAGATTATTCAAACGTCACTCCAATATTTTTCCAAATTGGAGTGAAATTGGGGTGACAATTTTTAACACGTAAGGAGCCATCTGGATTATGTGTTATCTGTGTTTCTACCATTTAAAAATCAAAAGTTGTAGTCATTTCCGGTAAAACAGAAAGTGACCAAAAACAATTGGATACGTCAATCAATCCTATACAATTTATGTCATATACTAACATACCAAATCTCGTTCTTTTTTATCTAAAAAAAGTTATAGGGGTGAGCCACTTTTGAGATGCACCGGTAGAATGGAAGATTTATCTAAGGTTTTATCAATTATTATAGTCAGTGTTTAGTGAAATTGAAATATTTTTTTTTACTTTTCATATAGGCTTTTACTGGTCATAAAATTGCGCAACCTTGATATAATTTAACATTTTTGTATCTTTTAGAGTTTACTTATGGAGCAGTTGCCTGGTACACAAAACTAGAGCAACGGACGGCAAGGCTAAACCTATGCAAAGTCCAGAGACTAGCATGTGTTTGCATCACAGGAGCCATGAGAACCTGTCCAACAGCAGCAATGGAGGTCATTCTAGATCTAACACCACTGCACATTGTCATTGGTAGATATGCCAATGCGACAATGATTAGAATGGTCACTAACGGAATTAGTACTGGGAGAATTGTCAGATCAGGGGCTTGGAACACCCTCAAAAAGGAAATACAACTCATGCAACTCCCAGTGGACGATATGCCAAGAACGTACAACTTTGAAAACATGTCAATGTAGTATTGAGCAATAAGAAGGATTGGAAGAGCGAAACGCTTGCCCAGCAGTTAAAAGACCATACCATAACTTGGTATACTGATGCTTCCAAAACCAATACGGGAACAGGGATCGGAGTGTTTGCGCCGAGAGCTAATTACTCCGAACCAATGGGCACTTACCCTAGTATCCTACAGGCAGAAATCTACGCTATCGAGAGATGCGTACAACTTATCTTAGATAGGAACTATCGGAAACAAGAAATAGCCATCTTATCTGATAGTCAAGCAGCGTTAAAGGCGATCAACTCAGTATCAATCAATTCGAAATTGGTTAAAGAATGCATAGAGAAGCTGAATAAATTAGGCAAAGAAAACAAAGTCCTCCTACACTGGGTGCCTGCTCACCAAGGGATAGAAGGCAGTGAAAAAGCAAATAATCTAGCTAGGAAAGGAGCGAACACTCTACTAACTGGACCAGAACCGTTCTGCTTTCCAAGTGGTAACCAACTCAGGGAACTCAAGAACTTGGAAGATTCCATCCGCAACCTGGAATGGAAATCTTGCAATGGTCTAAGAACACTCGAAGAAGTTTCTGAGGGCTTATGATCAAGAAAAATCACAGATCTTTCTGAGTAAGAACAATCTTCGGATTGTCACGGGGTTTTTAACAGGACACTGTCTCCTCAATGGACACCTCAGTAGATTGAAACTAAGAAGAAACGGCGAATGCAGATTCTGTGGGAAAGATGGGGAAACACCAGTACACCTCATCACTGAGTGCGCCGAGACGACAACCATTCGTGCCATGAATTTTGGTACCACTGATATTGGAGATGGAGAACTACCCTCTATAAAACCGTCCCAGATACTGGCTTTTGTCAAAGCCCTGGGACTGTATGATGAGTTATGATTCAAGAAAGGGGGACACAATGGATCTGTAAGGTCGAAGTGATTAACCCCCCTCCCACTCATTCTAAATTCTAAAATTCTAAAAATCTTTTAGAGTTTCCGAAATTCCAGTGGTCACCCTCGAATTTTGGACACCCTGTACTTGAGACAAACTGATCACACCATCATGTGTATCCTTAAATGCCGAGAGGTTGCCCTCCCTTTATACAGGGTGTCCCAAAAATAAGTGCAAATATTTTAACTGGTAGTATATTTCGGCCTCAGAAACACGTCCATAAGGTATTTTTTGCAAAAAAAAATTTTGGAAGTTTTTTAAATTTTAAGTTAAAAAATATAATTTCTTGATAATATAGCAACATAGGTAGTAGCTCAAATTTACATGAAAGAAAATCCAGAAAAGATCCAGTGGTTCTCAAAATTTTAGCAAAAAATTATTTTTTTTTGGAAATTTTCAAAGTAAAATAACTAGGTTATTTTGGACTTATTTGAAAAACGGTAAAGAGAAGAAATGTTTCTTTTGACCAGATCTACCACCCCTTAAAATATTTGCACTTATTTCTGGAACACCCTGTATACAGTATGAAAATGTAAGAAGAACAATGTTGAAACTACTTAGTATTATGCTAGAGATTTTGTATCTAGAATATTTATGGTCTAGTAGAGAAACCAATGACATTTCCAAATAGAGAAGATGGAAAATGGAAGAGGATTTTCGAACAATAGCGAACGAATTTTAGCGGAAGTAGAGAATGGGAATTACCGAGGAAGATTATAAAAGACCTACTAAATACGTCCTAGATTTTTTTTAAATAAAAAGAAAATTATATTGCAATTGGCATTTAGGCGAAAATTACGTTATAATAAAGATATTTTAATTTTTCTCGTTTGCGTCGTCAACCGAACCTATACAGGGTGAGTCTTAAATAAGTGCAAATCAAGATTATGAGGTATTTTTCGATAAAAAAATTTTAAATTTGGAATTTTTTGTAAAAAATTTCGGAATTTTTTTTAGTTTTTAGTTAAAAAACATAATTTTTTGATAATATGACAACATAAGTAGTAGATTAAATTTACAAGAAATAAAACCCAGAAAAGACACAGTGGTTCTCAAAATTTAACAAAAAATCCGAAGGGTAAACCGCTAATGTATTTTGGTGTACAAGATGTTGGCACTATTTGATATTAGTGGTATTAATCGTGGTATCAGTTGGCATTATTTGTGGTATTAGTGTCCAGAAATTTGACAGCGGTTTACCCCTCAAAAAAATCATTTCTTTTGGAAATTTTCAAAGTAAAATAACTCGGTTATTTTGGACTTATTTGAAAAACGGTAAAGAGATATAAAAAATATGTTTCTTTTATCGAAAACTACCAGCCCTTAAAATATTTGCACTTAGTTAGCACGGAACGTAACGCACAGAACGTTTTAGAATTCACTAATTAGTTTAATCATACCTGTGAAGTTGTTTCTGTTACTGATTCAGTTGTATATGCTGCATGTGAAGATTGCCCAACGACACACACTAAATATTCACTTTTCATGATTTTGTATTCCAAATAATCACACAAATTTCCGTTAAGATTAACATTAAGTCTTGCGTTTGCTTGCGAAGTGCTTCATAAATTAAAAATACTTGCCGTTCTTTCTTTATCTCTGTTCTTTATTCAGTACATCTTGTACTGATATTTTCTTCGCATATACGAAAATCGGCGCTCGAGGTCAGAAATGACAACCTGGTATTATACAATATCATATACAGAGACAAATAACAGCAAATAATTTATCAACAAAAACCGACACATTAATAAATTTAAGCTAAAACAAACTTTTTATTTTGAAATGTCAAAAATCAAACAAAAATCATAGCCTCCTAGGTATTTCCTCAAATCAAGATCCTGCGCTGGACTGCGCTCTGCGCGTATAAAGGGATATAGACATGAGCTACACTATCGATAGTTTTGTTGATACCGAATATCGATAATAAAAGAATTATTATTACATTTAAAAATGGGCAGTAAATTACAGTTGTGTAATATAAAATACTTTATATTATCGTCGGACAACGGATGCATGAAAATCAAGCTTAAGCATAAAAGTACGAAAATATATTATTAAACTGACATAGAGTGTCAAATTCGACGAGCCACAACCATAGTTTCTCGATATATGTACAGAGTGAGTCAACGATAGAGTAAAGTCCATTATCTCAATTGTTTCAAGGTTTACAAAAAAATTAAATATAAAAGTTATAGGAAAAGGTTAAGATACACATTTCAAAATTATTCTAGAGTATACAAGGTGCTTCAAAAAAGTGTATTGAATATAACATATGCTTTTTTAAATGCAACACCCTATTTTTTATTTTATTTTTATATTCTGCGTAAAATTTCATAACTTTTTTATATATAATGTTATATACCTAAAATTAATACTTTTTGTAATATTTCAATTTGTTTAAACAAATGTTAAATTGCAATGTGGTAAAAAATTGTCAGTGGTGCCATTGTTTCTGAAGTTGGAGGACTAAAATTTGGTAGGAGAGTTTTATAGAGATCAAAAAAAAGATATATGTAAAGATATTTTAGTTAAATGATACAGGGTGTTCAAAATATATTTATTAGGTTATTAGGTTAACTAAAATTAATAATAACCATTTATCAAAGAATGAAATTGAATTGATATTTCCATAGAAACGCCTTTTGATTTTTAGGATTTAGAAAAAATTCAACTATATTTTTATGGTTTTCTTAACTTTCTCCAAAACGGCATGGAAATTTAAGTATAAACGGGATTAACCATTTTATGGAATGCAACATTTTTTATGAAGAATGCATTTTTCTCAAAATGTCAATATTAAAAAAATTTTCCTTTTGTAAAGACAATCCGGGGACATACTGTAGAACAATAAATAATAAATCATATCAAAATATTTAAAATAATCGAAATTGGAAGAAGAAAAATTGTTTAAAACATATTTTAATATAAAATTAAAATTTATTCTTTTTTAAGAGTATGTATTACAAATTATTAATTGTTATATTTTAAACAAAGTATTTTATAATACCAAACTCTAATTGATTGCCCATTCTTATACTAATAATTATTTTTACTATCGATATTGGGTAATAACAGAACTGTCGATAGTACTGCTCATGCCTATATCCTCTCCACACTCCACACCGCATACTCCCGGAAAAGTATACCTAGGTGGCTATGAATTTTTTTTGTTTGACATTTCAAAATAAACATTTTATTTTAGATCAAATTTGGATCAAATTTATTAGTTCATCGGTTTTTAGTTCTTATATTATAATGTAAGTTTACACAGAGTAGGTTGATCTAATACACAAATTGTGATATTTTAAAAATTTTAGCCATGGTTTTGCATGAAATCAAGCGTCGGATTACCTTAAATGGTTATATAATAATAAATACTTTGTTCGCAGTTGCTTCTTCGCAGTTACTCCTAGACCCCTAGACGTGTAAACACAAACACTGACTCATAACTTCGCTTGCTGAAACGAAATGATTACATCAAAAGTGAGCATTTTGTGTACAAAGGACAGATATGTTTTATTTTTATGGAAATTCTTCACATCCATCATATACAACTCTGTAAAAGTCACAGGTCACAGGAATAACTTCACAGGTATGTTTATTTTAGACTAATATTAGTAAATTTTGGACATCCAGGTTATAAAAAATAATGCTTTTATCCTTTATCTTAAACATGAAAAGCGCTAGAATAATGCAATTTTATGAGACTATTACTACTACCCTTGATTAGGCTACTACCTTACTTTAGTCTAAGGCTACTACCGTATGATCGAAAAAAAAACGGTGTCAAAGATTCTTAATTTTGACTAGGTAAATACCGTATGATCGAATAAAAACGGCGTCAGCGATGGCTATGAAATGAAGATCGCTGTCATTTTATATGTAAAATTATATGGAAAATGTCATCGATCGTCATTTCCAAGCCAACTGGACGCCGTTTTTTTCGATGATACGGTATTTGGCGCTATTCTTACAAAGGTCGCTCTCCAAAGCTTTTGATAATTTCGGAGCGGTTCGGCTTTTTCCGGAATTAGGTCGCCAAATATTACTTATTCAAATTTATTCTTTTCTTTTAATTTTTACCTCCTTAAGGCCAGCTGACCGTAAGCACCATTAAAAAACTGAGAAGAGTATGCGCCAAGTAAATGACGTCTCTCGGGCTTGACCTCGCTAAAATTATTATCGATTGTCATTCCCCAGCCGTCTTTGACGCCGTTTTTTTTCGATCCTATGGTATTTAATGGTTATATATTTTTTTCTTATTTTCTTTCCTTTCTCGGTAGGTTTTTCGAAAAACGTACAGAAATATAAACGATTAGAATGAAATAAAAGAAAAAGGAACCTTTTCCAAGAAAGTCGTGATTTGAAGTTTTTTTTCCTTAGGTCCATAAATATCGAGAATGATAAAAAAATTCTCTCTTTCTGTTGCAAAATGGCTTTATTATGATCGGAAGGAAAAGTTTCTTTTTTGGAAGTCGGGGAATAAAATTGACATGAAAACGAATCACACAGTAATAGTAATAAATCATTATTTTGACGGGTCTGTTTCTTATTTCGAGTTTTATTATCTTGTTTAACGGATATTTCAGAAATTTGTCTTTAGAAGAGAAATAGTTATTCCACATCGAAAAAATAAAATTCCAGTCTTGCAATGCATGTCTTTGAAAGTTATAGTTATTCTATAGTTAGTCTCAAGTTTAGTTGTTGCAAAAAGGTTGATATAAATTGTGATCTAATCAATAAACTATCAATATTTATAGTAACCGTATACAATAGAGCAATACAGGGCCAGGCAATAGTACAAACCTAAAGTCTGTTCTAGGATGCATTTCAGGAAAATATTTTAACTTTTATAGGGTGGCTCAAAAAAGTGTGAATGGATCGGGAGTTTTTTTTTAAATGGAACACCCTGTATATTATTGCATTTTCGGCTTCCTTTCAGACCATTTTACATAATCCATAAGATATGCGTAAATACATATATTTTGATAGTTTCTCATATTAATAAATAAATTAAAAATATATATTTTTCAGCCTTTAAAAAAAATATTAAAAACAAGAACTGTTCTGAAATCAAAACTATATTAGGTATTTACTTTAGATGCTGAACTTTCTTTGCTATAAATATTGTAATCGTAAATCATAGAGGATGTTCAAAATTCTACGCCAAACTTTCTAAAATATAACATAATTTGTCTTCTTTTTTTCACACAAACATGTCAATGTAGTATTGAGCAATAAGAAGGAGCGGAAGAGCGAAACGCTTGCCCAGCAGTTAAAAGACCATACCATAACTTGGTATACTGATGCTTCCAAAACCAATACGGGAACAGGGATCGGAGTGTTTGGGCCGAGAGGTAATTACTCCGAACCAATGGGCACTTACCCTAGTATCCTACAGGCTCTCTACGCTATCGAGAAATGCGTACAACTTATCTTAGATAGGAACTATCGGAAACAAGAAAAGCCATCTTATCTGATAGTCAAGCAGCGTTAAAGGCGATCAACTCAGTATCAATCAATTCGAAATTGCTCAAAGAATGCATTGAGAAGCTGAATAAATTAGGCAAAGAAAACAAAGTCCTCCTACACTGGGTGCCTGCTCACCAAGGGATAGAAGGCAATGAAAAAGCAAATAATCTAGCTAGGAAAGGAGCGAACACTCCACTAACTGGACCAGAACCGTTCTGCTTTCCAAGTGGTAACCAACTCAAGGCGGAACTCAAGAACTTGGAAGATTCCATCCGCAACCTGGAATGGAAATCTTGCAATGGTCTAAGACACTCGAAGAAGTTTCTGAGGGCTTATGATCAAGAAAAATCACAGATCTTCCTGGGTCTGAGTAAGAACAATCTTCGGATTGGGGTTTTTAACACGACACACGGGGTTTTTAACACGACACTGTCTCCTCAATGAACACCTCAGTAGATTGAAACTAAGAAGAAACGGCGAATGCAGATTCTGTGGGGAAGATGGGGAAACACCAGTACACCTTATCACTGAGTGCGCCGAGACGACAACCATTCGTGCCATGAATTTTGGTACGACTGATATTGGAGATGGAGAACTACCCTCTATAAAACCGTCCCAGATACTGGCTTTTGTCAAAGCCCTGGGACTGTATGATGAGTTATGATTCAAGAAAGGGGGACACAATGGATCTGTAAGGTCGAAGTGATTAACCCCCCTCCCACTCATTCTAAATTCTAAAAATTCTAAAAATTCTTCTTTTTTTCAAATGGAACACTCTGTATGTTTTTTTTTCAATAGACGGAGGATTAAAAAAATAACATTTTTTATATACTGAAAGAGCCATATGAAATAATACTGCACGTATAAAAATTGTGAAATACTTTAAATACAAAAAAATATTCATTTTTTAACTCTCCATTAATAAAAAAATAATACAGAAGGTATTCCAATTAAAAAACAAAGAAAACTTATTTCATATTTTAGAAAGTTTGGCGTAGAATTTTGAACACCTTGTATGATTTAAGATTACGATATTTATAGCAAAGTAAATATAGACCATCTAAAGTAAATACCTAATATAGTTTTGATTTCAGGACAGTTCTTGTATTTGTAATAACTAATAATTTTTAAGGAGGGTTGAAAAATAATATTTTTTATTTATTTATTAATATCTCTGAAATTATCGAAATATATTTACTCATATCTTAGGATTATATAAAGTGATCCGAAAGGAAGCAAAAATTGCAATAATATACAGGGTGTTCCATTTAAAAAAAATCATCCGGATCCAATCACACTTTTTTGAGCCACCCTATAGAAGTTAAAATATTTTCCTGAAATACATCCTCGTAAATACTTTAGGTATGCATTTAAATAAAATTCTCTAGTTTTTTATTCTAGAACCTTGTAGAAATAAAGGTGTTTAATATTGGTATGGTCACTATTTTAATTTAATAAAAACAATTTATAACAAAGTTGTCGAAAAGATGCTTCCATAGATACTAAATAAAATACCTGACTTGGATTTACATGAGATCTCATAAATTTTTGTAGTGGAAGAATTGCTTGCAAGACTTATTGAAAGGAGAAACTTATTGATTTCAATTTTTATATCTAAAATCTTTATTCATCGTTATTATAATATTTAATGTCATTAGACAATGTCATTATGACTTTAATTATTTAACTTTGGATTTGGTTTGGTTTGGATGTCAAAGTCAAAATGGAAACAATCAACAAGCACGGTTATCACGGCGTCGACTAATATAACCTGATAATTTTGAATTAATTAATTTTTATGAGGATATCTCTGATATTTTAAATTAAATCATATTTCTTTGGATTGTCCCTCGTGTCGCGTTGTAGATTAAATTTTTAATGATACACGTTCGATACGAACTTTTTAATGAAACTTGTGTAACGTTACACGCGTTTCATTATGATGTTCGTATCGAACTTGTATCATTAATAACTATAATGATTCGTTAAGCACAAAATTCATTTCAATAATTATCAAAGCATCATCTACAGTTAAGTATATTTTTCTGGTAGCATACTATAACTATACACAACGTGACACTGTTTTTTGATTGGCACAGAGGCAAAAAAAGATTACTCTCTCAAACGCTTTCCATCTGCCAATAAAAGTTCAATCAAAATCGGTTCATCTAGTATATTGGACATAGAACTGGTAAAAAATTACAAACGTATGTTCGGATTTTATGCATTTACATCAAAAACCACACAGACATTTCAATTTTGTTTATTATAGTAGTACCGTATGATCGAAAAAAAAACACCGTCAAAGACGACTGGGGAATGATAATCGATGATAATTTTGGCGAGGTCAATCTCTAGACGTAATTTACTAAAAATTGACATAAAACTTGTCAAAAATTACCACTAATTATAGAAAGATTAAAAATGAATATAACAGATGTAAGTATGGACCAAGAAAATTACGTCTAGGGTTTGACCTCGTACAAAATTATTATCGATTGTCATTCACAGCCGTCTTTGATGCCATTTTTCTTCGATCGTGTGGTAGTATCGAGGGTAGTCAGTACAAGCAAGCTTGGACAAGCCATGCTTGCGCAAGCGAAACGGTACGTGTGTACCACATGTATTCAGCTTGTACAAACAATTAGTTCAGTTCGTGATCGTAAATGACCTGTACGTCGCGTCGTCATCATGCCTAGCGATCTGAAAAGGAGCAATCGAGGATTATTGGAAGATTTTATTCGCGCATACGAAAATCAGCCGTGTCTTTTGTGAATTAAATCTCCAGAATATCATGATAGGGTGAAGAAGGATGCAGCATACACAATTTTACTTAATAAGTATAGATTAATTGACAGCCAAGCCTATAAGGATGCCGTTATTAAAAAGATAAATGCTTTCAGGATTCCTTTTTCTTTTTCTTCGGATTTTCTTCTTCTTTTTCGCGGCATAAACTGAAGCTTGTTCAAGCATGCATGTACCGTGTGGCGGCGAAGGTAAATTATTCATGGGCTTGTACAAAAATATTGTTCATGCATGCTTGTCAAGTTTGCAGCAGTGTGTGTAGCCACCTTTAAGCAGATTTTTGAAATATGATATACAGGGTGGTCCGAACTGTAT